GCGCACCTTTCAGCAGGTAAGGTTGAAGTATAAAATGTTCTAACAGGTAGAACCTGTGCATCATCTCATAGGGTTCCTCCTCATCTTAATTCTGTCCTTATTACACAATAAATACTAAGTGGCTGTCTGACTGTGCTGCTGTTACTATATTGCTGTTATCACCCATCAATAAGCTATCGCTGATATCAGATTCTGTTCAATACCTGAGGTATTTGTAATTCTGCTAATGTGAGGACAGATGGGGTCTGGATGTATGTGATTGTGAGATGAAACGGTAGGATGCAGGAGATAACAGAATATAAATGACATCTATACACAGTCTGAGAACCTTCTCCCTGTGGAGATTCAATTCTCTGAATTAATACCGCTAATAGTTTAATTGGATCCTCATCAAAAAGAGATGTTATATTTTTATTTTTAACACCTAATGTGTCTAATGGACTTACTGACTGATTTTGTCTTTATTGTTCACACTATGACAGAACTCTGCTGATTAGATCAGGAAATAAAATACCATGATTGGCTCTAAGGAGGGTGGAGACAGAGGACGGTTTATTGAGGAAAAACTGCTCCTGACCAGCTTAGCTTTGTGGAGAATGTTACTATGGTAACAGAAACACAGCTTGAATAAATTTTCTTTGTGAAACGGAAAAATCAGCTTCCCTTAATTTAGGGTAAGGAGCTCAGGAGCTCAGCTTGTGAGTGTGACAAATGACTGGAGCTTAGAATGAGTTTGATAAGTGAATTTGAGGCTAACTTGCTGGAATGCAGTGTTGTGATGGATGACTGCTGTGTCTGACTGGCTGCAGTATGATCAACATTCCTCACTCTATTTACAGGCAACACGAGAGGATTAATATCCTGATTACAACACCTTCCACTGAGAAATTACATTTGGTTTTCCATAATAAGTTCCTACTGAATTTAAGATGAAATGTTTAGTAGGGATTGAGTCCCTATGAAGAAATGTACTAAAAGAATGTCATAATTCAGGTCGGCTTTTAATATGCAGTATAATTAAATTGTTTTTTTAAAGTTTATTGCACATATGTCAAGGCCCAGCCTGTGGGCCAGTTCCAGCCCCATGGATAAACAATCCATGGCCCCACTTTGGGCCATGGATTGTTTATCCATGGACCACTTATTTAGATGATCCACCCAGAATTAAAAGATTGTCTGCTGCGGGGACAGGCTCGTCCCCGCAGCCTTTACTCGTACTCAACAAGTTTTTCTTTTTTGTTTACTTTTTTCACCTTGTGTAGAGTTGGTTTCTGAGTTGAGCGGGAGGCCGGTTGCTTGAGTATCCATAAAATCTATCTTGAACATAACATTTTGATTGTTTGCTAGGTCCGACATGTTTAATAGAGACGAGTTTAAAGTCACATCCAACGAACATTGCAATAATTCCACCCCAAAGTACATTCAGAAAACATAGGCTAAGAATTTATAGATGCATCGGCTTTGATTTACTGTTTTGTCAGTCTGCTCATCAAATGATATTTAGACATAAAGATAAAAAAAAATTGTATTTTAAAGATATTGTTCACTGAAAATGTACACAATTTCCCGTTAAAGCTTGTCTGACCAAAACCTTCAAACCCAGACTATGACGACTCATTTCTGCAGTCATTGAAAAGCCAATATTTCTACTGTTAACAGAAACATTGCTATTGTTGAATCGGATGTCAGAAAGCTTCCTTCAGACGTCCGTTTTAACTGAACAGAGCATCAGATCTGGTGTAAAGAGGCAACCAGCTCTTTGGGTCTAGAAAAACCTTCTGAACTCCACTGTCATTCTTCACATTCAGCCATCATTTGCCGTCACACTGATTCTTTCCAACTGGTCCTTATGGATCATCTTACATCCTCCTCCCAGGTCCAGGTTAAAAACAAGGAGGCGGCCTTAGTGTGTCAGAAAGCAGGATTTAGTAGAATATGGTCTCCTCATGTCGCTGTCATTTCCTTTTACGGTAAATGAGGACTAAGATGAGAAACTTTTTAGTCACTCAACAGGGATCAGCTTTAATTTTTTTTTATTTTTTGAACAGCTAAGGACCACAATATGTTGGGATTAACCCTGATTAGGAGTGAAATTAGAGATTTAAATGGGATGATGGTCTGACAGGATGCTGGATTAACGATGGAACCATCATAGATCAGTGACCAACCACTCATTTTTACTGATGGGATCTATTCATCCCATTATTACTGGTTCTATCACATGTTTATGTCAGTTTGGTACATTTAGATGATTGCTTAAATGATTCCTGTATTATCAAATCTGAACTTTATTTTTTGAGCTAAAGCTTCTACAGTAAACGTAACCAGAGATATAAAACTGATGCTGAGTTTGTTTTATGATCAAATTATAAATCTGATTAGGTTGCTTCATAAAGCACTCATTAACTGTTGTTTTTGTCTCTGCTCTGATCCCAGGAACCAGCCTAAGGTAACAGTTTGTATATATTTTTATTAATAAAGTGGCCTACTGTCCACTGAGCTAATCAGCTCCCATGTTTTCCTCAGGTGTTTGCCTATGACTACTGCTTCTGGTCCATGGACGAGTCCCAGAAAGACAAGTTTGCAGGTTGGTTTATTTTTATGCTGCCCGTTGGCCGAGTCCCGACACAATGTCTCCCTGATACACTGATGTATTTCTGGAGCTCCGGGAAGGCAGCGCAAGTGGAGCAGATGGAAGCATTTGTCTGCAGCAGCTTTATTCTAAAACAGCAGACAGACCAGCCAGCCTGAAGCACTTCATTTACTCTAATACTGATCATATCCATCCCTGGCCTCTTTGCTCTGCATTTCATCCTCCAGCTAGTGAGGATATTTCTGATGTCTGATTTCTTCTCCTTTGCAGGTCAGGATGTGGTGTTCCAGTGCCTTGGGGAGAGCCTTCTGGACAACGCTTTCATGGGCTACAACGCCTGCATATTCGCTTACGGACAGACGGGTAAAGACGCCATAATTAATTGCTTTAAAGGTTGATCTTCAACCAAACTGTAAAGTATGGGGCTGAAAGCATAACACTGGACTGCTGCTGGAGGCATTGGTAATAGGTTAATATAAAATACATTTTTACATGGATCCTATCATCTAAAGAAAAAAAAAAAGAAACTTTTGCATTCCCCGTATGTGATAAATGTGCAAATCTCATCAGTACATGCATCCATACATCGGTACATCCAGAATTTCCCCATTTTGGGACCATAAAGAGATTTTCTATTCTATTCTATGAATTAGTTTTAGGAGTGTAAAAGAAGTTCATCTTTTCTGGAATAACTGTCCACTCTTATATATCTACTATACAAAAATGTCAGTTTTTCTCCCCTGATTTTGATTGATTATTAAACTTTTTTAAAGTGGATCTTCCACAAAAAGTACTATTGGCAGAAATTACTGCAGAGTTGACAGGTTCTGCAATTCTGGTTCCGTTACAGCAGGAAGAATGGGCCGAAACTATGAGTGAAGCTTCTGGAACGAAAACCCACTCAGTTTAGACTAACTATGAAAAGGGATTTATCAAATAGAAATAATAAACCATTCAACGTGTTTTATATTGTATAAATATCTGGTTCTGGCTGGATTTGGATGGTTTGGTTCCGTCTTTCCTCCAGGTTCTGGGAAGTCTTACACCATGATGGGTTCAGCGGAGCAGCCTGGCCTGATCCCTCGTCTCTGCAGCTCGCTGTTCAACAGGACGGTGAAGGAGGTCCGAGATGGAGAGACCTTCACCGTGGAGGTGTCCTACCTGGAGATTTATAACGAGAAGGTCCGAGACCTGCTGGACCCCAAAGGGTGAGAGCTCTACTTCATCTTAAGACTTTTTAAGGCTCGTTGATAAAAATCCCCATGTTATGTCTGAACTTACAGCAGTGCTGAAATAATCAGATTTTCTTGGTTCTGCAGGAGCCGCCAGGCGCTGAGAGTGAGAGAGCACAATGTTCTTGGTCCTTATGTGGACGGTCTGTCCCGCCTGGCCGTGGCCAGCTACAAGGTAACAGAATGGCCGCTTTATTCCTCCTGTTGTGACGCTTTGCTAAAGGAAAACTGGTAACATGATGTGTGCCGTACGTTCCCATCAGGACATCGAGACTCTGATGTCGGAGGGAAATAAATCTCGCACCGTGGCCGCAACAAACATGAACGAAGAGAGCAGCAGGTCTCACGCCGTGTTTAACGTCACCCTCACGCACACGCTGGTGGATCTGCAGTCCGGGGTGAGAAAAGAGGAAAGAAGAAAAGCATTACAGTTTTGTTATCAAGGAAGGTCACACTGATGTTTTTGTCTGATTGATTGCTCCAGACGCGTGGGGAGAAAGTGAGCAAGCTGAGCCTGGTGGATCTTGCTGGGAGCGAGCGAGCGACCAAAACCGGAGCAGCTGGAGAAAGGCTGAAAGAAGGCAGCAACATCAACAAGTTAGTGAACAGGTTTCAGCTCTGGAAGCTGAATCACGCTGCCCTCACTTTATCTGCTGCTTGTCTCTAGTTGGATCATTCTTTTGATAAATGCTGATGATCTGCTAACCTTTCTCTCTCCTTAAATAACCCCCACCGATCGGCCCCTCCCATCAGGTCTCTCAGCACTCTGGGTTTAGTTATCTCAGCTCTGGCTGATCAAGGAGCCGGAAAGAACAGAAGCAAGTTTGTTCCCTACAGAGACTCTGTGCTCACCTGGCTGCTCAAGGTACGGACACGACCCCCACGCACACACACGCAGCAGGCCAAAACAGCCGCTCCTGTTACACTGCACCCCTCCTCCATCCAAGCACAATAAGCCTTTTTTTAATCTCAGAGTAATTAACTTTCTGCAGAGCTGTGGAAACCGTCAAAAGCTCTGCTGCTTTATTCTTCACGGTTCTGCTGAATCAAACATTTTTTCCCGCTTGCTTTAATTCTTTAATGTTTATTTAAATTAGTCAGATTTAAATTGGCCTCGGATTGCCTTAAAGACTCAAAAGTTTTGTGAACCAAAGTTGACTCACAGCTCCAGCTCCAGTTATTTGGTGTTTCTAGAGTTTCTAGGAACTTATTATTAGAAACCAGTGACTTTTTGTTCTTTTTGGGCCGTAAATATGATGTGACACTGGATCCAATTTAAGCCACTGACCTGGATGCTGATTATTGAAACTGTTTACTGTTTGGAGGATGTGGAGAGTTGTCTTTTAACTAGGGCTGAAACAATTTATCGGATTAAACGATTACTGAAATAATCAGCTAATTTAGTAATCAATTAATCGTTAACTGTAGTAAAGAGACTATAAATCATGCTTTTAGCTGACAGCAACCCACTTAGAGCTGTTAGTTGCAGATATTGTAAAAAAGGCGGTGGGGGGGATCTCTGTTCCCATGCATAGAGATGTCTGTGGACTCGCACTCACTTAACATAGACCTACGTAATCCTACAATAACATGATATTTACAGTTGATTCATTGAAAATGCTTTTTAGTAAAAGTCAACAGCAGTAACTTCAATAACAAATTATAATTTTATTCAAAATGTATTTATTAAAAATGCTTAACAATTCCTGTAATGAATGAATAGCACAATGAAAGAAATAATGTCTCATCTCAACATCCCTCACTTAACAATAAAAGTTAACAATAGCTCTCAACTCCCAATAA